ACGCTATGATACTAATCCCAATGTCGTTCTTTCAAAGAATGATGATAACGCTCCTTTGATTTTCCACTATCAACGATTTCATCAAAGATTAAAAAAGATCCAAACAATCGTCAGTGATGATGATTTCTCTCCTTCTTCTTCCTTTGCAAAACAAACACTCGCGTTGTTGTTGTTGTGCAGAAGAAGGGTTGTTGGACCGACCCAAAGGCAATTGCACGGAGTAAACGAATTTTTTGTGTGGGTAAGCCAAGACTGTGCGTTGGTCCATGCCCATAAGAGAACGTTGAGGCAAGTAAGGGTGTTCGACGTCGAACGGTAACCACATTTAACTGTTCGCTAGAACGATGATCATCGAATAAAAACAATGTTCAACGAGGTTGTGATTCAGTATTATCTTCATGCTTTGATACGATTTGCCAGATTGATCTCTAGTATTGAACATAAATATTAGTGGCCCGATGTTGTGTCGATGAGATATCATGATGACATTAGATCTACACGAACAGCTCTTTGGCTTGAATATTTTTCGAAGCTCGTTCCTTGTGCATATGCTAATGTTTTTCGATCCATCTAAAATTCCAAGAGACGATGGAAATAAGATTTTCCAGATTTTTCCGGAAACATTAATGGTCATTGCTATTTTGATTTTTAAATATTGACCGAATCTGAATTAATAATTACATAGCAAGACTGGCCAGCGAAAGTGAACTCCGGGCTTCAGGGACACGATTTATGTCCCTCGAAAAAAAAAAAGTTTCTGTAGAGAACCGGCTTAACGCTGGCAAAGAAAAATCTTGAAATTGAAGCTTCCAAGTTCACTGTTCTGTCAATAGAGAGCCCAGCGACAGGAGTTGGCGACCAAATCCATCCAGCAACCCGCTCTGTTGGCTTGTCTTGCTATGCAACCAAACAAAAACACATCAAGTCATCCTTCACATGCCCAGAAACAACAAGCACATTTCACATCATCTCACTGCTGAGGATGATGACAACACCTCAGCACCTGCTTCCACTGAGACCGTTCACACAGGCGTTCAACACAAACTCCTCTCTTCATCCATTCCTCTCGTCTTTCAAAAATCAACACGGATTAAAGGAAAGAACAAGTATTGGCAATTTTTCATCTCTTCCACACCAGCCCATCACATGTCCGATTCTGACAATGATCACGAACAACAACAACAAACTCATGAAACACAACAACACTTTTCAAATTCCTTCTATATTTTCTCTCGATATGGCACTACGACTTTACATCCACAAACACATCACATTCGAACCACGAAAGGTATTTCCTATCAAAAAGAATTTCCTTCCGAATTACAAGCTCAGAAAGAATTATTAATTCGAATTCATGGTAAACTCAAGGAAGGATATCAATGGGTCTATGAGAGAAAGAAACGAAAATTTCCAATGGAAACACTTGTGAATTTGGTCAATGATCAAATTCAGCATCAATTCGAACTGTTTCAAGAATTGTCTCGAGCTCTTTTAAAATCACAACGTAATCAACAACAACAAATCCCTCGATCGAATTCAGAATCATTGAGTGAAACACATCTTCCTCAACATTTGAGAAACATTTCACTTCCAAGAGTGAGCTCACCCAAACGATTGACTTGTCATGTAATGCATCAATTGGGTTTAACCCCAACTAGGAATACCCTAATTTACCAACATTGAATCGAAAGTCACCAGTGAAGCGAAAGAAGGTGCCATCTTCTTCATCTAGCCATTGCTCAGATAAGGTTCCAATTATTGAATTTTCTTCAGAGAGTGAGGATGAAATGGAAGATGATGATGATGCTAGGTCATTGCATTCTTCACCTCCAAGAGTCGCAAGACGAAGAAGAACAAGTAGTACTACTTCTCCAAGATCTTTGAAAAACACTAAGAGAAATTCATCAATGAAAAGAACACACAAAGAAGTGAATTCTTGTTCATCCAGTAGTGAATCTGAACAGCATTCCGAAGAAGAAGAAACAATAACGTTATTGGCTCCTTCTCATGAAAGAACCAACAAGAAACAAAGTAAGGTTTCTCCTCAAAAGAAAAAAACAAAACGTAATGAGAAGGAACCATCCTCTTATCTGGGAGAAGATCAATTCTCAGAAGAAACATCTGCACACATTCCAACCATTCTTTTGACTCCAATCAAGAACAAGAACTCACAATCTTCTGTTGCTACTACAAGTACAATCACCCCTCTAAGACTCTCTCCAATTCCATACCGATCCCGAAGAGTAGATTCTCAACAACAAGCCTCCACGACATGGACCTCGCAAGAAGAAGGTCTCGATCATGATTCTTCAGATGATGATGACGATGAACACGATAATCATGAATTCTATGGACAAATTATTCCAACAACTCCCGAGAGATTTAAATCTACGGACACTCCTGTTGGGGAGAATGAGGCTCCTACCAGTTCCAATGTTACTCGACCACTTTCAGATATTGATTCTGGAAGTGATCGAGAAGATTCCATGCTTGAACATTTATCATTTGGAGGTTTTGGAGAAGATATGCAAGACATTTCATATTCCTCTACTAATATAGATCACACATCTTCGGCCTTGGTTCAAGAACTGGAAGAAAAGATTAAAAAACTCTCTCAAACAATCACAATAGAAACAGAACGAGCAAATGCATTGGATTTGGAAAAGAATTATTTGGAGAAGGAAATGTATCAATTAGTGGAATTGCATCAAAATACACTTTCAGAGAAGGACAGAAAGCATGAAGAGGAAATTTCATCATTGAAATTACGAATTGAGGAATTGAGCCATTTTGCTGAAGCACGACAAGAGGAGCTATTGCGAAAAGAAGAAGCATTGAGGGAATTGGAAAAGAAACTGGAGGAAGAAAGAATTCAATTGAATCAACAACGTGAAATGACAGAAAGTATGTCACAAGATTTATCGTACCGTCTTGAGCAGGTTCGAAATAGAGAATCACTATTGGAAATGAGGGAAAAGGAATTACAAGAGAAGATGAAACAGCTCGAGAGCGAACAAATACTTTTGAATATTGAAAGAAGTTCATTACGTGAGCAAGTGAATACTTTCGAGACAGAGAAAGTCAGTTTCATGCAAGATATGGAGCATAAGAATACAATGTTTGAAAAAGAAGTGACAATTCGATTCCAAAATCAGCAACAAGAACTCGAAGTTGAGCGGCAACGACTTTCAAGTGAACATCAAGAAAACATGCAACGGTTAAATCAAGAAAAAGAAACACTGAGAGCTAATCAAATGGAATTTGAACTTACAAAATCATCCAACCGTGAATGGTATGAATCCAAGCGCAGAGAAATTGCTGAAAAGGAATCTGAAATTGAAAACAAGCGCTATCAATTGGAAAAACAACTCGAGTCTCTGACCGATCGTGAATATTCTCTACATTTACAAAAACAACAGCATGAAGAGCTTATTTTCAAGAGAAATTCTGATCTCGATATTAGAGAGAACTCTTTCCAAACAGAAAAGGAAAAATTCGAAAAAGAACGTCACGCTTTCAATCAACTTTTCGAAAAGAGAATGCAGTATGAGAATCGTTGTCAACAGTTAGGACTGGCTCTCTCTCAAAAACATACAGAATTTCAATCAGCCCTGTCCATATGGCTCTCTGCATTGAACAATTCTGAGGAAACTGTTGACGACAACCAAAATGATCCAAGAATGTTATTCTCTGGAGCAAATTTAGATAGTGATGTGTAGAGTTACATTGTAAACAGCTTGACACTGATTTGAAAAGTTTTTTTAAACATCCCTTTATTTGATAGCAATGATGCCTTAACATCCTCGCTTGAGAGCAAAAAAAATACAGGATCAAAGTTGTTCTCTCGTTCCATCTCTCTCATTATCGGAATATACATTCATGTATCAAGATCTACTTTATGAACAAGATAACAAAGGAAATGACAAACAAGAGAGTATTACTCACAGTGATAATTCTGTGGTCCAAGAAAGTATTACGTGTCCATGTTATTTAGTTGCCGCAAAAACTTATTTCCCTATTCTTTTTAAATATTTCAAAAGAGATGATCCTTTGGTAGTTTGGGCCAAAGCAGTTGCAAGGGAAGATTCACCAAAAGAGAAAACATTTGAATCAGCTGATGATCTTGTTGAAAATTTGATGCATATTGTACATTGTTTTGCATATAAGGACGATTTTTATTTATTGTACCCTGAACAAAATCGTACTGAAGCGGTGGTCAAGCTTAGAAATTACATAAGGTTCATATTTAGCAAAATTTCCACTTCATATACTCGTCAAGATATATCTGCAACACATCTATTAAGCGCATCATTAAGAAAAGAACTTATTTCTTCAGAAAGCTCCTCCTCCAATGATGGTAATAGTGACCAAGATGAAGACTGGAATTACTCTGAGCTACTTCCCTCATCTTTTTACGAGCAATACGAACAATTCTCTGTGGACTCCTTCAATCAAGACCCCAACCCTGAGGGACTACAAGATCTATATAGAGCATTAAAACGCTCACGAAAGAGCAATGAACTGTTTCAGTTCAAGATTACAAATTCCCGAAGAAAAGAGTATAATTTCCACAACAAATTGTTCGCTGAGTATTTGCAAGATTGCATTGAAAAAGGAATGAGTTTGAATTCAAGTCTCTTATTCTTGAACGACTTTATTAACAGTTGGAAAAGAAGAAATGTCACACTTTCTTCAGAACTACATATGAAGGTTTTCCAGCACGATTGGATTTCGAAAATGTTTAGCGATTTTGGGAGAACTGTGAAAAAAAATTACAAGATGTCCTTAAATGAAGATTCTTCAAAATACTGTCGACCAGACATGCTTGTTGAGGACGACGCTGTTTGTATGGAATGTAAATTAATGAATGTTCTCAATTGTGAAAGCGATGTTCGGAAAGCAACGCTTCTTCCCCTTAGAATGATGCAAGAACGAGATTTGTCGAGAGGGTTAGGTCTTCTTGCAGATTCCAAATATGTGTATTCCTTTTTTATAGAGCTTGATAATGATAGTAATTATTACAAGTGGATATACTGCCATCGTTTTGAAATGGATCAATTGTATGACCGATGTTTATTATTCTTCATTTTGCTTCGGTTTTTGATCCAACGAAGCGGAAATAAGGTCTTGCAAGCTGAATATAATAGATTAAAAGCTCTTGCAACAACTTGGGAGAATGAGAAAAAAGGTAATGATTCAAGTGCTACAATTGTTTCAACTCAAAGCAAGGGTCGCCCCACAGGAAGTGTATCATCCTCAAACCATTCGTCAACTCAACGATCAATCCACTCAAACACAATATCCACAACACAAGCACAACAGAAAAAGAAACTATTATTCAAGAAACACATTAAGGACAGGACTGAACGAATTTTAAATGACGTTTCAAATTTTCACAACATCCACAGCCATTAAGAAAAATGGTTCACTATACCATGTTTCTTCTCGTCACCAAGGATTGTAAAATCATTAATGCAATGAATGAAGCTGAAATTGCCAAAACTTTTGGAACCTTTTCTTTGGATCTCTTTGAAAACACGTTCATGCATAATGTACACACTTTGTTGACAAAGGTAGTGATGAAGAATGATGCAAATTCTTGAGGAGAGGAATTTTCCGGGATTGAAAGAGAGGATTGTTTTGCTGCTCTTACTTCTTGATGATGATCCTTAAGAACAATTTCTGCAGCTACGGATGTGGAAGCACTGGAAGAAGTGTTTGGTTTCGACTGTTTTCTTCCAAAATACGAAACGTCGTAAACTGCAAGAATACGAAATACACCAAATACAAGACCAACGACAAGAGTTGCTAACGCTATCCATGACATGGGTCGAAAATATTGGTACCATGCCATTAACAGAGTTTTTGAGAAAGAACCAACACTTATGAGTTGCTTTGAGAGAGTGGACGGCATGGTGGTTGCAGATAGGACTTGAGTCGTTTGTTGTTGTTGTTCTTGTTATTGGATTTGAACCAATTTCTTGAAAACACTGTTTTCGTGCCATGTCATCAATTTCATTCCTTTCTAAACTTTGTTTCTTTTTGAAATGACCTTCCACAAATTTTGATATGAAATGAACAACATTGATCAAAAAAACAATAGATGCTTACTGCCATGTTTGCCCATAGTTTGGTGTTGATGGATTCTGTTTGTTGTTTCAGAACTTCTTAAAAAGGTGTTTTTGATAGTTCATCACCACAAAAAATGGTTGCAAACCATCCAGACCTTCCGACCACGGTAACTGCCACTACGAGCTCCACATCTTCATCTTGGAATACAACAAACACAACGACAAATTCGGAATTATCTTCGACTTCTTTTGAAAATCTACAGGATGATACTCATTCATCAATAGCCTCCACCTCCACAGCAACAACAACTCGTTCTCCCACTACAACATCGTCATCAACAACGTCCGAAGAAGCAGATGCGGACTTGCAAATTGTTCTCCAACATCAAAGTTATCATTCAAAAATAGGAACGCTTTTAGCTGTAATGCCCATTGTTTTTGGAATTGCCTTCTGTTGGGAGAGAGGCCTATATCCCTTCTTAATATCCACATTTATAGAGCATTGTGTTCATTATACGACCAATTATTTCATTAATGGGGTGAAATCAATAAGGAGTTTTTCGACCGTGAATACTATTCGGGTGTGCATGGTTGCAGCGTTTCACATGTCGCTGCAGGTGCATTATGGTCCCTTTGTGGCTCTTCATGTTTTTACAGTGTACAAGATTGTTATTACTACCATGATGTGGTATTTCGATATGAGGTTTATTTTGCTTAATGGCTCGATACATGTCATTAGTGCAGTTCTAGGAAAGTACATTGCTTTGGTCAACGAGATGCACACGTTGAGTGATTTGGAAATCATGTTTGCCTACCGATCCGTATTTGAGGTTTTTGTTTTGCTGACAACTGTCCTCATCTCGTCACTTTTATTTTCACAACACATGAATCAAACCAATGAACAATACACCAAACAGCAAATAGAAATCACAAAGGAAAGAGTTCGAAGTACAGAAAAAACGAAATTTATTGCCAACTTGAGTCACGAAGCACGGAATCCATTACATGGCATTCTTGGCAGTTTACAACTACTACGGCACAATGTTTTGGGAAAGGATGAAAAATGTGAACATGGATGTGAGCACTGTCTTCTTCAAAATAATTCAACCTCAGAGCTTGTTCAGGATATTGAGGAAAATTCGAAAACTCTACTTCATATCTTATCGTCTTCGTTGCATATGAGTAATTTAGAACTAGGGAAAATCAATTTAAAATTGGAGCCCTTTAACATTATGTGCTTGGTAGAATCTATTACTTCGGTGTTTTCGCAGCTGGCTCTTGAAAAACAATTAACCCTTCATTCGTTTTTTGATGTTCAAAATGTACCAATTTATTTGAAAGGAGATTCCACGAGAATAAGCCAGATTGTCATGAACTTGGTTTCCAATTCCATCAAATACACCTCTAAAGGCTTTGTTAAACTTACCTGTGAATTAGCATCAGAGAAGGACCTGAACAAATATAATGATTCTCATCCAAAGGTTTCAAAGAAAGGAGATATTGTCTACATCAAGATAGAATGTCAAGACACTGGTCGTGGTATTCCAGAATCCCAATTACAAAATATTTTTCAGCCTTATAACATGATTGAAGAAACGACTCTTTCAAAGAAACCTGAAGAGTTCGAACGTTACTTTAAGCAGTCTGAGCATATTACTGGAGGGAGCAGTCTTTTGATTCACACGAATAGAAATGGCTTAGGACTGAGTATATCGAAATTCATTATTGAAAAGATGAATGGTACGATAACTGTCAGTAGCAAAGAGAATGAAGGCACAACGTTTACCGTCATCTTGCCTTTACAGAAATTTGTTGGTGAAATATCAGAGAAAGCAGCAGTCAATCCAGATAATATTCAGGAAATTTTACATTACGAAGCTGACTCTTCTCAAAAGATTAAGGTCCTAATTTTTGACTTGGATCCATGTTTTCGTCAAGTGTTACAGAAATATGCACAATTGTTCAAGAGAGTTGACAGTATTGAACAATATGCGGACTTTGAAGAGTTTGATCGCAAGCGTTATTTGGCAACCCAAGATGACGAAAAACAACAACGTTCAGGGGACTCTTGTTGCAACACCTTAATCGTGTGTATGGAACAGTATTACGAACAATTGAGCAATTTCTTTCAAACGAAACAGAATGGACAGGTTGTGGTAGTTCCTGCTGTTCCTAGAGGTCGCAATAGGATGTTCGAAAAGATCAAATACTTGTCAAAACCAATCAAATTTGCAGATCTATTTGACATCATTTCGGATCCACGATTCTCCAAATCTTCTCTTCTTCAAACTGCGCCATCCTCTATCATCAAGACACCTCGGAAAAGTATTGTTGAACTCGATTCTCAAACTGCTGCCTCTTTAGCTTCACACATGAACATGGAATTTGACGATGAAGTATTGTCAAAGCCGGTCTTAGTTGTTGATGACAATGGGGTCAATCGAAAAATACTCTCTAAAATGCTTCGAATTATGGGCTTTACAGACATTGATTTAGCATGTGACGGAATGGAGTGCTTCAACATGTTTAAAAAGAAGAATTATTGTTTGATATTATTAGATTGTGTCATGCCTATTTTGAGGTAAGTTTGTTGGTCTTGATGAAATTGGTCTTGATGAAATTTCAAACCTTACATCAACCTTAACAGTGGAAAAGAAGCATGCGAAATGATTCGAAAATATGAAAAGCAAAACGAGCTTGAGCATGGTGCCAATTTCACTCGTTTACCAATTGTTGCTGTGACTGCCAACACCTGGGAAACGAAGGAGGTTCTACTCGCTCAAGGTTTCGATAGTGTCATGTACAAACCTATTGCAATGGAACAATTGAAAGTAGAAATGCTCAAAGTGTTGTCCCATGCAGAGAACTCGTCCTTACAACAGGAGTGATGTCCTCATGATTTCGAATGGATTTACAATTGGAAAGAGAGGAACGTTCGAGACAAAATTTACAGAAAAAGATTCAAAACAGTCATTACTGATGCAAAATTTGGTTCGGATATGAAGAGAAGTAACAAGTTGGAGATAACGCATACCTAGATCATAAAAGTGAGACTTCATCATTCACTGACATCATCAGTCCTTCAAAATTACGGGATAATCTCCCTCCTTTCAACAACGATAAAAACGTCTTGTGCAAATTCAAATTTATTATTATTATTAATATTTACGACAATAACAACAACCGACAAGCCATAAACGCTTGCCAGTTGCGCAAGAGCAACATTAATATTCATCCTCCTGATCATTGATTCCCGATTTCAAAAGACTTTAATTTTCATCATGACCAACAACAACAAGCAAAGATCGACAAGCAGCATGGCATCTCGGCCGTCGCCTCAACCCGACTCTTCTCATCACAATTCAAGAATTAGTTCGGCCATTACAGCACACAGCTCGAGAAATGTTTCTCTTGCTGCTACTTCACGCATGAATTCTGCAATCACTATCGGCGCACCGTCATTGGAAAACAACAACGAGATGTCTACTGGATCACTTCCTCCCCTCAAACAACCACCACCACATGTAGCAAAACGAACAAGCAGAACCAAGATGACCATAACGCCCACTCCTACACCTCCACCTAGGCAGCATTCGGAAGACGCAGCATCTGGTTGCCTTAAGGAAATTAATTGGGCTCGTAAAAAGAAAAAACGACTGAAACCAATTAGCTCTTTTATTGACGAGCAAGTTGAACAATTCAAACTCAATGAAAGTATTCAAGCTGACAATGAGGCAAATACATGTTTCATGACGGAAATGCATATCACTTCACCGGATAAATCAAAAACCCGCACCACTCATACCCACAATTCAAATGAGCTCTTTGTGGAAGATCCGTTTGATGCTTCGGAGAGAAATAAGGATGTCAAGAGCGCCATAAGTAACACAATCAAACGAGTGAACCAAGCCAAAGAAAAACGCTACGAGTACTGGAAAAATCCCAATGACAACAGTTTTGTTGGCTCCCCTCTGCTGAATAAGTTTCCATTTCATGAGCTGGAGTCTAGTAATTTTCGATTATTATTTAGCAAATCTAAAGAATTTGATTCAAAACCAGAATTCACTAGAGAACGATTGGAGAAGGTTTTTGCTCCCTTTAAAATTTATCAGAGCAGCAAAACTAATTTAACATCTGACATTTCGCTTTTAAATAATGTTGAAGAACATGGCGAAAATCAACAAGAGACTAGTGCGAAAAAAGTAGCACCTAAAATGGTGGCTGACAAAAAATTTGAGGAAAGAATTGATGACGAATTAAGGAGGAGTGACATACAGTTTAAGGACCTTTTTCAAAAAGCTCATCATGTTGTTGCTAGTGGAAGAGTTCAAGGTGGATCGTTACAAAACCCATTTGGAGACATTTATTCTAGTTATTTCAAACAACATCAATCAGAATATGGTCAAAAGAAATTGAAGCCAATCACAAAATTTGTGAACTCTGACAACTGGCGTAATGAGTTTTTAGGATCTCAAATTTATAGTCAACAATATTTATTAACTGCCTTGGATGAACGATTTGGAAATAGACTTTCTGTACTGCAATCTCGTCAGAGCTTGGAAAAAATTGCTGCCGCATCCATGAAACGATCAGAAAAATATGCAGTCTGTGGATTGAATGAACCTCAAATGAGAAAACCAACGGATACTTCATTGGACTCGATGTGGGACAAACTGAATCACACATTGGAGATCACGAAAAGCAAGTTTTATCACTCTGTTCTTTTTTATAGAAGGTTATTATTTCACTTGGAGACAATCAAAGTTCCCACCTCTGAGAATGAATATCTCATAAAACTATTGGAATCCATAAGGAAACATATTATCGAACACCCAACAGATGATTTAACTAAGGAGGGAATTTTCTTCAATAATATTAAGCCGTTGGTACAAGAAATGAGCAAACTCGACTCTAGAACTTCAACCAGTAACTTACTCAAAACCTCCAGACTTGATAGTTTCTTTGGAAATCGCGAGACTGTGCGAGTCATTTTATTCTTCATCGCAGAGTTGAACATTAATAGCGAAGATTTATTTACAAATTTTTTACATCGGCTTCGTCTCAAACACAGCAAGGCCATGGATGAACTCAGAATCAAGCTCAAGGAACGAGAAGCTCAACAACAAAAACTAATCCGAAAAGTGGAATTATTTCAAGTGGAGGGAGCAGACAAGAACTTTATCAGAGCTATGGTATTGGCTTTGCAGCCTCAATCATTTCTGGCTGGTGCTATAATTGTCAAAAAAGGTGATATTGGTAATGAAATGTATTTCATTTTGAAAGGAGTCGTAGAAGTTGTCACTGAAGATTCTGAACCCAAAATTATTGCGTCTCTCGATGAAGGCAAGTTCTTTGGAGAGGTCAGTGTTGTATTAGATCAAACAAGAATGGCTACAGTTCGAGCTGGGACCGATTGTGATCTCTTTGTTCTCAATAAGGATGCCTTGAAGCGAATTGAGGAAGAATTCCCTGAACCTGTTGAAAAAATCAGAGAAAAAGCAATAGAACGATTGAACGCTGCCAACAAGTAATTCCTTGAAGTGGAAACGGGTGAAGATCAATGATTTTCTTGCGTGTGACTATTAGTAACAATCTATTAGGACGTCATATTTTGAACATGAGTATTGATACCTTTTGTTTTGATACACCACATACTCAACTACAGTTTATCTCCTGAAATTCTCATTTATTAGATATGTGTTAGTTCCGACCATTTAGTAGTATCTTTTGGGCCGTTATTTACAAATATAGTTTCGGATCGCCATTTTGATTCAGAAACAAGACTGCCGCTAGTGTCACAACACGTTTGTAAAGAACATAACAGCATACTGAGAAAATTTGGTGAAGGCTTGTTAACCCTTCTTCTCAACATACAAAAACAATAGAACAACATCAACACACCCATCAGCTCCACCAAATTTACTGGAGATGTCCTTCCGTAATCTATTTGATTCTGATACAACGTTGCAACTGGTGAACCTCTATTTGAATGACACGTCCGTAAAGGAGTCCAACTATGCGATTGCTAGCCTCGGGATTAGTAGTTTCTTCCTCATCTCTTTCATGGTTTATTTGACGGCGTTCATTGGATTCTGGCTGACAGAACGATTTCGAAACGCTTGCACGGATTGTACAAAAAAAGAAGAAGAATCCAATGAGGTGAATGGAATATCCAAACCACAAGTGGATGAGATGACATACTCTTCCACAAACACTCCCAATACGCCATATTACAGTGGACTGAAAAAGAGTCACACTTCTGATGGCACGAAGACTTCAAAAATTAATCGAAATCAAAAGATAATGTTTATTCTGGTGTTAGTGCTGGTTGTGGTTCAATGTTTTGCCTTAACAAGTCGTATGATCAGTGATAGCATGAATCTTACCATGAAAGAAATGTCACTCAGTGAACGTAAGTTTAATTTGCATGATTGAACCATCAAAATTCTTAATCCTCAATTCACTGCAGTGAATGAAAGTACTGTCGTTGCATTTTATGTATTTAGTTGTGCAGAGTTAGGATTAACATTTGGGAACATGATCACAACTGTCATGATCATGTGTTTTGTTCAACATGTATTGTAAGTACAGGTTGATAGATTGCAATCTTAATAATGACTGACATGACCATGCAGTTTAATTACATGTCACAAAGTGAAGGCGATTTCTGACAAGACATTTAGAGGATTGAACATTTCATTGAATATTTTCAATGTCATTTACTTTCTTCTCTCGAGTGGAATTATTATTACCATCTCCATTGGCTTGTTCCTTTTAAAGCTTAATATTGGTAGAGATTTCCTTCTCACCATCTACATTATGTGTTTTGTAATTAACAGCTCCATGATGATTTTGGAAACTTTATTATTCAACATTTTTGGTTACCTTGTCATTCGAACCATCAATAGACAGAGTACAAAAACTCAAAGAGATCAAAACAAGCTGTGTGCCAAGAGAAAACACTTTGCCAAACTCATTGTTCTGCAAGGAGCTTTATCCTTTTGTGCTCTGTTGCAGTTATTGGCTGTCATATTCCAATCCAGTGCAAAGGCCTCAAAAACTCATGGACTAGAATTGGCCTATTACTTTGTGAACTCGTTTGGTATTTTGAGTTTTGCTGTGGTTGTTCTTCTTCTTTATAATCCTTTATTCAATTATCCTGCAAATAAGATAAAATTTGAGGATGTAGCAGATTACGTGAAGGAAATGCTACAAATTGAACCCACAACCCCAACATCACCTTACTCTCCTAAAAACAGTGCAAGAACAGACTCGGCACGAAATGCCAATAATTTCCTTGAGGTGCCAGGAGCCAGCGGTCAATATTTGAGTGTTCATTCAGAGTCATTTGGTGGATCCTCTTCCTCATTAGACATTTCCACAAGTTGTGACAGCAGCAGTCAAAACATGGAGGAAGTACACGATTTGAAGATTGTGGATGTAAGGATTGAAGAAGTCAAAAAAATGTCTGAGTCAACCACACAAATTTTTGATTCACAACAATAAATAAGAGATAGTTAAATAGGTACAGATCAAGGAAAGTGTTAGTCTTTATTCTTCCCTTAAGAGGACTCTCAACGGTGTGGTTCTTGAGTAAGAACGCTGGTTGTGAAAGTTGTGGAATCACTTTGGGTTTTATTTGAACAACTCGGATTGTTGCAATTCTTTAACTTCATTTCGTAACCTCGACAAGGTCATTGGATAATTATTGTTCTTATTGATTTGTTGCTTCTCTTTGGTGACCAAGTTGGTTGGTGCCTTTCCCATGTAGGCAGCTGCTGTACGTTGTGCAAATTCCTCTTCAGAATCCGACAATTGCACAGGTGAATTTGAATTCGCTGCCAGTAATTTCTTGTCCACATTGCCAAACCTATAAATCTTAGCGTCA